AAACACCGACCCGGAACGGAGCCGAGCGGCATTGGCTCAGCTTACATTGTGACCCGAAAGTAGACGCTTCACTACTCAAATCATGTAACTAGGAACAGTTGTGTTTTCTTGCAAAAACGAATTTCAACTCCGAATATCTAATAAAATAAATACCTTGTACTTACCCTAGAATGTTGTCCTTCGATAGTTGCCCATGTCCTGTTTGAGCGACCCAATGTTGAATTCAAGTTGGAAGGTACAAACGGCTTGGCAGCGGGGTTCGGGACAAACTGGTAACAATTCCGAAAAAGGTGTGAGAACTAGAATTAATACTCAAGAATTTGTGCAATTCTAAAAAGGGCATGAAGAAAGAAAAACACAAAAAGAGAAAAAAAGCCAAATTTTCTGTATGCTAACGCTCTTAGCGAGAGTGGCACAATGGCTCCCTCGTAGTTTGCATAAAAAAACAGCTTCCAGCTGCATCAATGGGACAGCAATGAAACCTACGATGCTAACACAAACCTTCGTGTTATCTTTCGATGTTTCTTTGCCAATTTCGCACAAAACTGCGTCTTTATGTTCATTTTGCCCATGGTCTGTCTGGGCGGAAAACGCCATTACTTCTCCATAATACAAGACTCTAGAAATCTTCTCATTCTCGCCGGGAAATCGATTGGTGGAAAACAGGCACGTCATTTAATTCCGCCAATCAAAACTTTAGCCGCTGGGTTCGTTGTTTGAGGGTGGGGAGGGTAAGGGTGAAAAGTCACAGCAAGAAGGAAGCGAATGAAGCTAATTAATGAAAATCGCTTAACGCTAGTCGCTAGATTTATTTCACAAAATTGCATTCCCTGAGCATGGCACTTTTTGGTGAAACAAAGACAACAAGGAAACAAATGAATAGAAAGTTTCAGCTTTAATATCAGATAAAAATCTTATTTCATAACCCGAAATTTGTTGACGAAACAATGATATGAAATTAATCATAAAGCTGGTCGACCCAAATTATTTCGGGGCCGGGAAATAGGCAACTTGGTTCCATTCGATGGTTATGAAACTCAAAGGGATCGAGGGTAAAAAGTGAAGAACAAGACCTTCCCTTGTGGAAAATGTGCGATATGAACTGTCGCTCTCCCTTCGAAAAGGAAGGCATTCCGAGCTTTAACCATCGTTGCTATGGAAATAGCATTCGTCAAAAAGTATAGAAAAACACTATAGAGTAAAAACGGAACTATTAAAACACACAAAATAGAAAAAGAAAAGCCTCGAAAGTGACCATCAGATCTTGCTGAACTTTACGGGAAAGGTTCTGTGTGACCAAGGCTACTAAACGTATTACTAAACAAAAGGCTTAAGGTAGTCCGGCGGAAACTGGTTTATAAGCATGTGAACTGCTTCATTGGCATCAGCCTATCGCATTGAAATCGGGTGCGAGTCTCTTCCCGAAGAAGGCATCTTTTATGGAATAATGGATCTGCTCTGACTGTGCTCTACCTCAACTGCCTGACTTTTTTGAACGTTCAGCAGAAAACCGCTTGCAGACTGAACTGGCTCTGAGCTTTCTGCATAGATCGAGACCTGTAGCAAGGATAAGTCGGCAAACTTTCTGCATTGCCCCTAAAAGAGCTAGTAGTACGAGGAACAAAGTCCTTGATCAATAGATCTTGCTTTTAGAAAGTCAGTTTCCCGTTGTTTCACCTACTGAACTGAATCTGATTGGATTCTAGTGTTGAAGGGTACTTATTTAGAAGAGTACTTTATCCACCTTAGAGACATACTAAATTGGGTTCTTTCTGTAGTTCGACGAGAATTGACTGAAAAAATATGCCAGAGAATCAAAGAAAGTATTCTAGTTGGAGTTTGTTAAAGACAAACAGATGCTACACTTCAAGAATGCAATAATGTGTAAATAAATTGAACTAAAAAAATTATATAACAGTTATTTAGTTGGCGACTTCAATTTTCCAGAAATTAAGTGGCAGACCATAACACCCACTCATGGATTTCTGCTTAAGTAATTTAAAGATCTACTGCATGATACCAAACAAACAACGCTTCACCTCGTTGTTAGAAACGAACAACGCTTCTGGTGTTACTCAAACATGTTTCACTTCGGGCGACTTGACCGGTTAACCAAAGACTGTCCCGGCTTGAAAAAGAAAATTTACAGAACTCAAAATATCGATGGAGTTTTATTATAAAAAGTTTAAAGAAGTTGTTTAACTTTTTTTTTTCAACTTAACGCCGAAAAAACGCATCAAGATGAATACAGACCCCCTACTGGATTTAGATGTAAAGGTGCGAGAAAACAGCTAAATCTCTAAGTCCAGTGGAACCCTTTCCCACGTTAAGACAAGCGAAAGCTTCTCGCTATCAAACGTCTCCCGGAATTTATTTTTCCCCAATCTTCTTCTTTGAGAGTCCAAAATGGCAGCCACTTACTCTTCCACTTTCGTCAACGATAGCCTGCAAGCTGACTTCAGAGGCACCGCACGACCTACTAAGCCGCAGTAACGAGATGGCACAAGGAGAAAATAGGTCCACAATGCGTACATGTGTCCAGCGCGAGATGATGTCTCACCTACTCACATTTATGTAAATGGCAGACGCTTGATCGTAAAACAAGTAAAACGTTATTCCATATCTGAAGCAAGATGTTACAACAATGTTGTAAGTGCAGTCTCTATTTTTTTTTTTTCATTTTAAAAATGAACAAGAAGTGTACAAGTTGCATTCAGCTTACAAGTTTTTTTGAGGGTTTTCAGTTGTAGAGTGAATGTGCTGATTAAAATTGAGTACAATCTAACTTCAGCAGTGCATAAAAGTGTCTCCTGGAAACAGGAACAGAATTACAAACATTTTTCACTCTCGAGGTGAACTGTTTATTAATTGCAAAGGGTGAGTGCTTAAAATGTCTGCTTTAGAAACTCTTTACAGTGGCCAATTTACATCATTAACTCAGTTGATAAAAACAAATTATCTTATTATAAGTGACATAACAATACAACAACTGACACAAGAATTGTAGCCCTTAAACAGTAGATTGTAATAGAAAGTAAACAGAACATCATTGTTTTGCTTAACTTTGTCCTCGATCTTGAGCAACCCCCATTCGATATATCCAGAATTTCCTAATGGAAAAATGTAATAAAACTGACTATCATCATGTGACTCTTAAGCTTGGACGCATCACTTTTCTTTGCATTTTTCCTTTTCTGGGTAAGGCTGCAGTAATGACACTTCAAGATATTGAAAGCAAACCATCCATCAGCTATTTTCTAGTTACACTGTAAACAGGAGAGGGAATTTTCCAAACTGAGTGATACCAATAGTATTTACAGTGTACCTTTGCCTTAGGGGTTGTGAAACAATCTAGCAGTTGAAGAGGTTCAGCCACAGGTGGGGTAAATTCTGATGATTCTGACATGTTGCAGTAAACAGGGGTGTACTCAACATCAATCGCTCTGACTTACACTCTTCTTGAACTCTGAAATTAGAGAAAATGTATGTTTGCCATCCTGAACACTGATAGTGAAATTCTCCCTTGGTGTCACTTTTACTGTTCCAGTGGGATCACTAATATAGTGGTCAGTTTTCTCCTTCACATCATTGGCTGTGTTTACCTCTTTAGTACCACCTACTTCACTGATCTTTCCTTTTATCACAAAAAGTTGGTTGTGGTGTACCACAAATAGTTAGGCAATATTGTTGGTTTCTGTTTCTTCAGTATCAAGAATTTCCAAAATGTTGCCCATAAAAACTGTCTTTCAGCCACAATGGTGTTATGTTTTAAAACTGCATAGCTTGACAGGGCTGCCTGCCTTATTCCTGGCATCCAGGCTACTGTGTTTCTTGGGTATGAAGCAGTTTTGTCCTTCATGCACTTGTTAAGATAATGTTACGATATGTAGCATAAGTTTGTTATAATCCTCGAGTGTTAATGAAATTAGTAACTACTGGAACAAATGTATCTTTTCATGGTAAAAGGGAAAGTTGTAATATAAATTAGTTTATAAAAAAATAGTTTCTTTCTCCACTAGCCTTTTAGTTGATAATGGTAATAGGACTGAGTGAAGAACAATTCGCTCTGTAATCATACAAGAGATTCACAAAATTGGATGACCACAAAGCAGGAGTCCAATTTGTCCATCACAAGTATGATTACTAACAGAATTGGATGACAAGAATCCTGTTACTAATTAATCATAACTGTTTGAATTTCCAAAAACAAAAAATTCATTTAGGTCAAATATCTCCAGTAGAAACAATGTCTACAGTAAAAAAATTTCTTCATGTTGGAAATTCCTCAATTTTTATTTAGGATAAGTAGCGGTTGGTATGGTTATTGTGTTTAATTCTGTGATTGGTGGATTTGGCTGAGTGGACTTGGTATGATTGAGTACTTCAACAGTCTGATTTTACAGGTGTCTGATTATAGCCAACTGTCTGATTACAGCTCTACTGAACGATTAGAGATTGGACAGGATCTGCGTAACGTATCCGGATAGATAATAGACTTGTTGTTGTGTTATCATTAGTTGTTTACAAAATTGTGCTTTCAAAGTTAAATATATAAGAAACTTTACAGCACAGTTTTACAATCGACTCTATTGTTCCCTAAGTATTAAATTGGAACTTATGTGGCTGTTTTTAGTTGCTCTCTTCAAAAAGCCTATTAACGGTCAGCCCGTTCGGATCAACAAACTTAGTGATAGAGTTTTCGGATCTGTTCAGGCATCCTAAATAGCAACACTTATGGTCATAAGCGAAGCTGAGTAATCACGAAGACTTGGGAATAAATCTACCAATCCACATCTTCAGTCTTCTTCTAGCTTTTCTTTTCAACAAGGAACTTAACACCTGCTTCATCGATATTCTGAAAGGCTCTTGGGCTCTTGGGCTCTACTTCGTCTCGTTTCATGTTTATTCAGAGGACTTCCTGTCACGCAATGAAGTGAAAAACTTTCCATGAGCCGATTTCACGAAAAGAGACTGGCACTAGAACGGTCGTACCAAATCCCTCGTCTCAGAAGTAACGGATAAACATGGCCGACAGCATTTCACAGAACACCCGTGGTGTGCGGCAAAACGACATATCGTTCCTTAGCATTGACATGTTTGTTTCAACTCAAATTAATAATATATAAGTTTTTAAAACGAAATCACTTCAAAAACCTGTCACTATGGGCAGTTCCACCCAAAGCTCCGGAAAAATAACACCATTCCAACAGATGATATCTTCAGGGTCCGGAGCTTTGATAACCAGTCTCTTTGGTAAGTTTCTAACGAGTGTTCTCAAAGGTAACCTTTAGATACTTGAGGCTACTACCTCGTAATCTCTTAGTTTTTTCTCGTTTCTGAAACAGTTTTGGGTTGGTTAAAAGGAGAGTTTCATGGCAAATTTCACGTTTTCTCAAAAAGTTCATTGACATGATGTAACATTGCATTTCACTTATCACGTGCAAGTAGCCAAGAGCGTGGGAAAGGGGTATGGGCAGGGCAGGTATGTAAGTTTTGTGTAAGTATGTGTTGCGCCTGAACTTAACTACTTTCTTGTTCGATGGTGATTTTAACACGTGCACATCTTTCATATACTCGTTACCAGTGATGTAATTGAAAGGGGGACTTTTGCATTTTGCTATGGCCTCTCTTGCGCCTTCCTCCCTAAGACGATTAAAATCCAAAGTGTCTCAATTACTTCGTCGACATTTTCATGTCTTTTGTTGTTGTTTATTTTAAGTGACTCCTCTTGATGTAGTAAAAACAAGACTGCAAGCTCAGCTCAAGCCTATCCCAAAATGTAAGAATTTGTTTTCTTTTGATTTTATTGTTCTTTACGAAATGGCTTTTGTTAATTTACAATGATAATGCTAATATTAATGATACTGACAATGATGATGATGCTAATAAATGTTATTAACAGCAGTCAATTCTTCTCCTGCACTTGGGTACTTAGGGCTACGGCCAGAGACTGCTATTGTTGCTTGTGGTTTGCCTTCTTTTCTATTTGTCTTTTGCCAGTTACTAGAACATTAATGATAATAACAGTAGAAACAATTATTTAAAAGTTTAATCTCAATGATGATGAGATATTAAAGCCTAATTAATGAACTGCAAAGTATGTATGTTTTGAATAGATTGAAAGGAGAAAAATCAGCATTATGTCTTCTTGGTAAAAGTGAAGAACAGTTCCCGAAAGATACTGTTGGCCAACTGTAAACTGACAGTTGGTTGACAGTCGACTCACAGTTGGCCAGCAGTTTTCATTATGTTTCAGGCCAAAGTTTTTGCCGACTGTCAGCCAACAGTCCCCACCCTGTTGGCAACCTGTCAGTATCCTGTTGGTAACGTGTCTGTAGGTTGTAAACTGAAATGATCATAAACGTTTACCTATATATTGCTTCTAAAAATACATAAAAAGGAGAAAAGTCATTTCAAAAAGATACCTTGCACTGTACTCTCAATAGCTACGATGGCTTTTGCCCACTTTTTTTTTGGCTGGTGAAACTTTCCCAAATTGGTTTGATTTCATTTATCTGCTATATTGAAAAGTTTTTCTAGTTCCCAATCCCCTAAATACACTGCCTCCAAAACCCTTTTCAGAAAGTCTTTATTAGAACTATTTGACCTGTTGGTTCATTCACTTTTGCAAAGTTGGTGGCTCCTAAAGGAGCCGTTTTTTTTCATTTCTGAGCAAGATGACATCCCTACTCTTTGAAGTGCAGATCAAACATCAATGACGGCTGACTGTCGGTAATGTGTAGGTAACCTGTTGGCTGACAGTTGAGCAACAGGTTATCAACAGCCAAAAATGGGAACCATTGTTCACTATTACCATCTTATTTGAGTCTTTTGGAGTTGAAAGACCAATTTCCAGACCTCCTTGTTTCTTTTTCTACTTTCCCTTTAGAACCAATCATGACATTATATTACTGTACTACAAGTTGTAGCAGGACTATTACTGTGTGGTTCAATTTTAGTGGTTATCACCTCCTATAGGAGGGGAAGCCATTTATGTTGTTGAGATGAGCAAGTGTAACAATAAAATTCCAATCTTGACCCAATGTTTCCAGGTGCTACTTCTACTGCTAATATCTAAGTAGTTCTACATGGGCACTTATTTTCTTTAAAGAGAGAGCATTTAACCATCTAAATCAGCAAATTATGTAGATTGGAAGATATAATCTTTTCAGTTCCTGCCTGACACTGTGAAAGACAATCTCAAAATGATTTCACAGTGGCATTCAGCAATGCGTAATTGAAATCAAAACTTTTTACTTGCAGAAATATCTCAATAGATGTGATCCGCACATCAAGGAAGCTTTGAGAAGTCTTTTTTTTATTTTAAGAGAGAGAATTTTACAGTTTGAATAAGTGACTTCTGGGGAAGAGAGCTTCTGAATTTGTGAAGCGGGCAAGCTAGGAAATGCAATACTTTTAGTCAGTCAATAGAATGATGGAACTGAGGAATAATGGAATGGCAGAATATCTTAAGATGTAGAATAAAGGAGTATCATAAAACACGAAATGTGTTTTTGCATGAAACAAAAGTCTCAAGAAATGGAATTGCTATAGGATAAGAAAGTCATTTACAACTTATAGGCAAAGTTAAAGGATAATGAAAGATTTAGAAAACATTTCATAATAAAAAGTAGTGAGATTAAAACATGACATTCAGCAACAATGTGTCACCATTATCAAATGTAAAATTATTTTAAGTTCAGTGACATAAAGAAAGGAAAGTGAAACTAAATTAGAATCAAATGAGGTGGAGTAAAACAAAAGAATATACATAATTAAATGAACGGTTTCACTGGAATGGAGTCTTTTTGAGTGTTCAGAGTCTGTCTCTTTTTCTTATTAAAAGCATCTCACAAATAAGGCACTCAAACTTTCTGTCATTTCTTTAGGATGAAAAATTGCTCGTGAAGATTGTTCGGTCTTTGATTGTGTTTGTTCTCAAGATGTTTATGAATGATGGAATATTTGTGCTCCTTAATGTGAAGGTGGAAGTGATGGTTCATGTAGCCTTTATAATTTACATCACACAAATTACATTAAAATTCATCCATAATGCATTGTTGGTTTACCTGTGAGGGCTTTGTTTCTGTGACTTTTATAATTTTGGAGATTTTCCTACTTGTGAGAAAATTGACTGTGTACTAAGTACACAGTCAATTTTCTTTCCAAGGTCACTTAGTTGTCTGCACACAGTGTTGGCAGAAAGTTAAAGTAAGCATACTATTAGGTATTTATTGTTAGAGCCCAGAAGATTGGGGAACCATAAGGTTTTCTAGCCAGCCCCTTAAATTATTATTATTTACTATAGTTATCATTATTATTTTTGTTGATATTATTATTTGCTACCATTTGGGTATTGTTTAATGTCAGTTTCACAACATATTCTTGAATCACATTTCTCTTGTGGAACAGGGTACTCATAAATATGTGGAATGCCACAGGTTTTCTGTTTTGTAAGTGGGACAAATATTCTGCAACACTACATTCTGTTGTCATTGTACAACCTCTGGTCCTTTTCAATGCAATAAAAATTGTGCTACACTAGTAGCTGCATGCATTCTTTGACTGTCCTTTTTTTTGGTTATACAGCTCAACTTGCTGGTTAGAAGGGAAAGATGAAATTAATATCTTTAACAACAACCAATCCTTGTGCAGGACTCTTTCATTATCTGAAATATAGGATTGATTAGAGATGACACATTTAAAAGATATAAAGAAAAATTGGAACCATATGTATGTATGTATGGATTCAAGATATCATAATTGAAAATGGCTATCTGTGGTACAAGAGTTCATGTTGTGCTTACATTGAAGGATAACTGTTCTAAAACCAAAAAAAAAAATCAATCTTCATTTTGGTTCAATGATCAACTGGTGACATGTTAAACTTAAGAATGGGTTAGGGGAGAGGTAGGTGCACATTTGCTAAGATACTGACATTGATCCCAGCATCTTCATAAAACTGTGATGTCATAATTTTTTTTGAATGACTATGTTGGTAAATGTATATGTTGCAGATTAAAATGAAATTCTGGTCAAAATGGTAGTAATCTTCAGGGTTGTAGGTCAAGTTTTATTACCTCTCGGTCCAGATTCATCATCCTGATTGTTAAGCAATAACAACAACAATAACAAAGTGTTGAAACTTGTATAAAATCAGTTTAACTATGACATACACATATCTTTTCTCTCTAACTGTTTTATTTTCATGTTTTAATCCTTTAGCTCCATGTTACCTGTTCTGTAATGGTCTCATGGATCATCTGTGTTTATGTGCCAATCTTGGATCCCCTTTCCGTCCATTTCCTCATGCTCCTCATCCTCCTTTTGATTCAACATTGGTAAGTCTGAGAATATCAGCACTTTACTGCAGTTATTAAAATATGTTGTCCATAATAAATCTAAAGAGGTCTGCACTTCCAGTGGTTTTTTCCCCTTTTCAGCTAATTATGTGTGGGTTGGAATTATAAATATGTGAAACTACACTAGGCACATGTATGAAAAGATTTCGTTAAAATGTACTGGTACTCCTATTAATGTTACATAATAAGATTATTTCTTCAAACTAGCAGTCAGAGGTAGTGTCACCGTCATGATCATGGTACTTCGAGATATTAAGTTCAGGCTTTTCCAAAGGAGCTACATAGTGACCTAAAATGATAAAGAGGTCTCTAGAAACAAAATTAAGTGGTCAGGATATAAACCTATAGGAAAGTGCCTGGAAAACCCTTGGAATCCTCTAATGAAATGCCAGCTTTAAAATGGTTACCACAGTTCTTACTGCCAAAAAGACACTTTCCTCACTTCCTACCACTAAAAATTAGTGGTACAACATTTTGTACCATTTTTTATCTCACTTAACTTGAGAATATGAACAGAAAATTCCAGAGCTCTCATAATTGTTGAACATGGGTTGCTAAATTGGCAACATTTGCTGTAAATTTAGCACCTAAATTTGATTTTTGTGTCCAGGAATATGTTGTGATTTACTCCTTTCCTATTATACAGATGAACTTTCGATTGATAATTCTTGAAATGGAATTGAATGACAGTTTTGTTTCAGTTGAGTACACAGTTCAACAATGTGTACTCAAATAACCTCAAATGATTGTTAATTTAAGAACAGTTTATTCAAATTCCAGGATGCTTTGATGAAAATTCCTCGCTATGAAGGCATCTCAGCATTGTGGAGAGGCTTACCACCAACTCTGTAAGTAGATGGTTTGAGCAGTTCATTTGTTTAACTCTCTTTGTGAAATTCAGAACAATGTGGCTTATGATTGCTGCTGAGAGGGATTGTTTGAAATTGGTTTGGGTCTGTTTCTGAAGGAAAGTTTTTAGTTTGTAAAGAAATTATCGTTGTGCATGAGTTGGTGGGCAACTAGAACACTGGACTGATGATAAAATTAATTTGAAGAGAATGAAAATAGATAAACAGCAAAAGGTAAGTTTGGAAGCATTGCACCAGGAGATTACCTTAGTAAACATTTGATAGAAGTTTAAAAGAAGTGTCACGGATGTTGGTGATAAATAATGGTAGTTGAACTGAGTGAAGTGCAACCTGAAATCATATGAGTGATTTAAAAATTACACAAGTAGTGATTTCAGACCAAAATTATGTTGTATTACAGTATGATTTCAGACCGAAATTGCATGACACAAAGTTCAATCACTTCATTATATCTATTTTGAAATTGTAAAATTCTGTTTCTCAAATACAGGATTTTTAGTCTATACAAATGTTTTATTTTTCCAATGCTGAGCTGGTCTATAAAACGTTACAAAAGTTGTTTTTCGTTTTCCTATTATTTGATTTGTTCCTTTCTAGAAGCCTTGAAATCTGATTGATTGTTCTGTTTTAGTAAAGCTGTCTCATTGGCTGGGAAAAATGCTATTTAGAGCAACAAAGTGGTTTGATTTGCGAGTAAATCAAATCATCAAGGGCCAATCAGGTTACAAAGATTACCATTTATTTCAAAATGGATGACAATTTCATGAGTGGATCACAGCAATCCACATATAAAATATACTGCATGTCACTTTAACTCTAGACCATAAACACGCATAAGCACAAAGTAGTAAACACACCATTACTTGTTGAATGACTACCAAACCAAGGTTGCAACTTTTCATACATATTTACTTCCAAAAATCTTTTTCTTGCTATGACAACAAGAGTTTGCTCAGAGTGCTGACTGACTTTTCTTATGGTTGTGTTGCAGAGTTATGGCTGTTCCAAACACAATGATTTATTTTACTCTTTATGATCAGCTTAAAGTGGTGTATGGATTTAAAGAGGGAGAGGAAAACTTTTGGTCACCAATGTGTGCTGGAGTTACTGCTCGAAGTAATATTTGGTTCCTCTTTTGTCATTTTACATAACCAACAAAATTCATTTGAAAATTACATGCACATCTCATTCATGAACTGGTATTTTAAACAATACCTCAATGACCTCTCGGGCCTGCTTTCAGTCTGAATGACTGAATAACTTGATGTATGGTAAAAGTAATAGTCAACATGACCACTCTTTATCAACTTGTGTGTATGAGACTAAATGTAAATGTTACCTTCTATCTACTTGAAATACAACAACATTATCCATTGGGTTTGGTGACTAATCTGATCATATTTTTTTTTACTTCAGCTGCCTCCATCACATGCATATCACCAATAGAAATGATCAGAACCAAACTGCAATCAAGAAAGGAATTTAGTTATAAAGGTATTGTTCATCTAAGTTGCATCACATACTACACATGAAGTCCAACTTTTATGATATTTGGGGTGTAGTGTTTTGTTTTTTTTTTTGCACTTTGTCTGTTGAATGTTTCCAGTTACTGGTAAATGGAACAGATGCATCAAGTAGGAATCATTTTTATGCATGACAGTAGTTGAAATTTTAAGACGATTGTCATGAATGTAGGTATCATCTTTGTAGGTGTTTTTTTGCAATATTCTAATGCATTTCTTTGTTTTTATTTCAGAGCTTGTAAGTGTTATTAAGAATGCCATTCAGCAAGGGGGAATGTTATCACTCTGGCATGGATTAGGACCTACACTGCTCAGGGATGTACCATTCTCAGGTTGGGACTGTATTAATCAGTAACACTGATTCCAGCTGTAGTATTTATTTGACTCAAGAACTGATTTTCAATGGAATTGACCCCATTTTTTAGTCATTTTCTATCATCTAAATCAAACTAAAATAAAAATATCATAATGTAGTTTATTTACATGTCCTTTTTTATCAACATCAACAGGATATTTCAAATTTAACACCAGCATATTGGTGTTAATCATATTGTAGTAGAAATTCTACCTTATTGTTGACCTAAGTATTGTTGCTGATTTTCTGTTTGTCTTTTAAAAGCTGTTTATTGGATGGGCTATGAAGTCCTAAAATCAAAGTTTGCTGAGCCAGGATTTATTGCTAGTTTTTCATCGGGAGTGCTGTCTGGAGCTGTGAGTACATGTCTCATTTCTCATTATTTATTTCATAGGCTAAATATTCTGCGCATTATATTTTGTAGTACAGTGTAAAAAACAAAACTCTGGAAGTACAGCAGACCATTTATATCACAAGACATGAAGCTTAGTTCACTTTTGTACTTAAATTTGCAGATTCTCCTTTTTACCTACATCCATATTTTACATACCTGGGAAGACACTTGATAAGTTGAACCTTTGCCAAATAAAACCTTGTGTTAACTGAAAGGAAAATTTATTTTCCCTGGATTTGCATCACACATGTATTGTAATTTCACTGACTGGGAATGACTGGAAATCTCCTTGGGAACTAGTCTGCAGAGAAGGTGTAATTGGCAGGAGCAAATATTAACTTTGTGAAAATTATAGCTGTCACCTTTGATTTTAACAGTCACAAAAGGCTGGAGAGAATGAAATTTGTATTGAAGGGGTGAGTGAGGAGAGGGAGCAGAGCAAATAGACATAATTTCTACACTGATCTTTGGAAAAGATCTCCTGGCAGCATTAGCAGTTAGTTTTTGGAAGAGCTTGATATTTCAGATGCCAGTGTGCATCAAGTGAATGATGGCGGGTAAATGTTTGAGTGTATGTTGTTTTAAAGTATTGTTTACCATCAATGGAAATAATGGAAGAAATATCATTAAATGGATTAATGGCAGCTACACTCAAGGATTGTCATTTGGAAAATTATGAAGTGCAGCAAATATCAGCTTATATTTGTGAATGGGTAGGAGGTTTTGTTCAACCCATTTCTCTCCTGGCTGAAAAACTGCTTCACTCTTTCACTCATTGGCTCTAGGTGTTTGTTTTTGTCGCATAAGAGTGCTTCTGGTTTTTTGAGTAAACTCATTAACTGCTCTTTTCCCAAAATGCAGTGACACATAACTAATCAGGGGTCATTATGCTTCTTAACAGCCCCCTCAGACAGGCCTCTTTTTGCTGGGCCCCATCTCCTCCCCCTTCATTGACTCTAACTCCAAATCAAACATGGCTGGTTGAATAAATGACTACAAGCTTCTTAACATTAACCTGCCCTAATAAGATGCCTGCACTGCAGACTACCTTGGTAACATGTACCCTGGACAACTGATACATTTCACTAACTTGAACCAGGGGACCTGCATTTTCAAAAAATCTGGGTTTCCTCTGTAGCACTGACTTTGTTTGTCAATGCTTGACAAGTGGAAACAAGATGTACTCTGCTGTAATCCAGAAAAGTTAATTTCTTTGACTAGGGTTCTTGTTTATAGCCATGTATCATTTTGCAGGTTGTTTAAGTAAATGTTACTGACTATTTCACAGAAGTATATATTTTAAGAAGAATCCAAGGTCATCCCAACTTTTCCTAATTTCTTATAAACTAATCTGCCCTCTACATTAAGATGCAAAAAATATGTATTACACCAATTGTGTAAATCCCCTCAACATTTTCTTGGTTAAGAGTACATTTAATAATTACAGTACCTTGAATTTCCATGAAGCTTTGCTTCTTAAACTTCTTGTTCAAAATGTTCCATTTTCACCCAACACTTATACTGAGAGAGATAAATTTGACAAAACTTTTATTGTTTGAGAAAATATTTTTCCTTAATTTCCAATCATTTCTCAACCTTCTAATGACTCAAACTATTTATAATGCAAGGTTTTTCAATTTCCCTCCAAAGGTTCAAGTTATCAGGAATGCACAGTGCAATTATTTGCCCTAATCATCCATCACATCTTTTTCACATACATGCATGTTTCCATTTCTGGTTAGTAATAGATTACAGATGACATTAAAGTCTGGTGAGGAAAAAAAGTGACACAGCACAAAGCTGTTCTGTGATCTATTACTGTACAGATCCATGGCCAGATATAATCTATTTGTTTCAAATGTTAAAAAACAAAGTGTTGTGGATGGTGACATCATCTACGTCTGCCCTCCAATGTCATAAGCAAGAACCAATCAAAAGCTTGTACAGTTCAGCTCATCAGGTAGATAGAAATATAGATAGATAAATAGGTCTGATGGATAGACAGACTGACAGATAAACAGGCATATATTTGATAGATTGCCTACTAACAATTTGAAACTTTTTTCAATTCCTGAAAATCATTGTTTTGCAGATGGCTGCATTGATAACAACGCCATTTGATGTGGTTAAAACACACAGACAGATGGAACTTGGTGAACTTGTGTTTAGTATGTAATGTTTTCACTGGTCAAGCTATCTTGTGTGTTGTTGTATCCCTTAGTTATCACTGAAGTGATCAACCATGCGTAAATTGTGCTCTCCTATGTCAAAGAATAACAT